CGGCGGGAGCGCCGAGCCCCGGCCCGGCTGGCGGGGCGGCCCCTCCCGGGGCAGGTAGGTGCGGGCCGGGCGGGCGGCCCCGGCGGGAGGGCGGGCGAGCGGGGCTCTCCCCTCGCTGCCCGGGTGGGGACCCCTCCCCTTGCGCCCCTGGGGGCTGCCCCCGCTCACGGCGCGCTCGTCCCCGGGCAGAGCCCGATCCCTTCACAGTCCTTTCCCAGCGCAGCCCTCGACCCCCCTCCGGGTTGGACCCGATCGCCTGTCCCTCCTCCCCAGCCCCCCCATCTCTTCAGCACCCCTGTCCCCCCTCGGGCAGTGCCCGATCTCCCCCGGCCCCGCAGGACCCGAGCCCCAGTCCCGCAGGGCAGGAGCTGAGGGGATCCCGTCCCTCCCCTACCCCCCGCCATGGCAGCTCTGAGAGCCCTCCTGCCCTCGCCAGGACCCACCCTCACAAACCAGACCCTCCGGCCCCGGCCGGGGAAGGGGCACCAGGAGATGCCCACCCTCCCAGGGAGGGAGGTTCCAGCAGGCTCCATTGCCCAGCTGCAGTCAGACATGTGCCCTCCTCCTCATCATCGTCCTCCTCCCCCCTCCTGCAGCAGAGCCAGGCCTGGCTGTGGGGGCCACTTCCTACACAGCCACAGCCCCCCTGCCACTGCCCCTCCCCGTGCGGAGCTGGGATCCATCCCCGGGTCTCTCAGCCAGCCCGGGGTTCAGTTCCCACTTGGCTGGGGTTTGTGGTTTGATGGCATCCAGCTCACACCCCTGCTCCACACAGCCTGCCCTCCTGCCACTGCAGGGCTACGTGGCTGTGCTCAGGGCTCTAAGGGGAGCTGCCAGGTTTGGGGTCTTCCCTGAGTCGTGTTTTCCTCTGTGGCTATTCTTCACCTGTCTGTGGTTTGTTTTTGCAGAGCTGGTCGAGGGGAATGTCTTACTGTCTCCACTCAGAAAGCCATTTGGATACTGGGCCAATATACGTGCGTGAAAATGGGAAGCTGCATGTGGTAAATCAGGGTGCAGGCGGCATACAGGATGTCACTCCCAAAACAAGACCTTTTAGGCTGTTTTCCAGAAGTTTTTCATTGGAGCTTTGCATGAACAGGGAGGACGATAGGGCAAGGAGGCAGAGGACTGATCATTTCATCTTCACGTACACTAAGGAGGGGAACCTCCGCTACTCGGCCAAGTCTCTCTTCAGCCTAGTGCTGGGTTACATTTCTGACAATGTTGATCACATTGACTCGTTGATTGGTTTCCCAGAGCAGATTGCTGAAAAGCTCTTTTCAGCAGCAGAGGCAAGACAGAAGTTCACAGAGCCAGTGACGGGACTGAGAGCTCTGCAGAAGTTTACTGAAGCCTATGGCAGTTTGGTGCTATGTTCATTGTGTTTGCGGAATAGGTAAGTCTGTTCACTGACAAATATTGTCATCTGTCAGGGCTTTTTGCTAGCACACTTCTAAGTTTCCCCTAAATTAAATTAAAAATACCTCTTGGGCTTGTAACACCACCCAATTTTAATTAAATGCCCTGAGCCTTATCTGATTCTTCTGCTTGCTTTTTTGTGCCATCCCTTTCCTACAAGTGCAGCTGCTGGTTTCATTCTAAGGTACAAATCTTAGAATGTACAGAGAATTACAAAGGTAACAGACAACAGACTACATCTGTGTTAACTAAGAGGGGATCTTAGTGGAGGATTAAACCTGCAACCATTTTTTAACAATAATAATCAGCACTTCCATAGCAATCCATGTGTTTAATGCCTTCTCAGGCATTTCATGGGATGTTTTTGTAATTGCTGTTTAAAAGCATTTCAACCTCCTTAGCTGACTGTACAGATAAAATACACCCTTGCAAACTGTCTGGGTTTATTTACTATAGTAAATAAAGCTTTTGTACTCTCTCATTCTGGGGGCTCAGAAAAAGACAATCTGTAGGTAAGTTACAGGCTTTGAAGTCAGGCAGGTTTTACCTTAGTTTATTGTGATTCCCATCCCCATATTGAGTGTTCTTTAACAAGGTCCTGTTTAGAGTCCAGCATTAGTTTTTCTGCCTTCACAATGTCCACGTCTTTCACTGAAAGTCTTGCCAAGCTTTAAACTGGATTATGTTTTTAAAGCCTTGCTCCTACTGAAGTCTTTCCCAGTAATATAACCAGTCTCTTCCATCTCTACACTTGAAAAAGGGATGGTTTATCCAGTTTAAAATCAAAGTACAGGCATATTCATCTGAAGTGCCAAGGGTGTTCTGAGCACAGTAGGAATGTTTGAGTAGAAGTCAATTATCCTTTGTTTCATCCTTTAAACCTACTTCCTTTTTATCTCTAGCACAGATAATTTTATGGGTTTAATTCAGAAATTAAGCTACTTCTGGCATCTTTTGCCATTACAGAAAGCTGAGTTAAGTATTGAGTCTTTGAAATCCAGGGAGTAAGGCATTAAGGCATTTTCTGATGAATTTTATTTCTAAAAGACACTACTCTTCTTTCTCAAGAACTGGTTTGTTCTCTGACTGTATGTACTGCTTTCTGCATAGCCAAATTGCACAGCACAGGGATTTAGGGGGTATTTTAGTAGGTAAACTTACACTGGGAGGATATTAAGATCCCCTTATTTGCATGGACAGAGAGGTGTTCTTTGAGGGATCAAATTAGTCAGCACCCCTCAGTTAAGCAGTGAAGATGCTGACCTCGGGGTCTGTATTCCCAGGGGAATATAAGGTAAATTCAGGAGAGATTAGTGAATTTGGAGCTTGTCTTGCCACAGGGGCAGTAAGAGGTAACTGCAGGGGAGGTATTGACGGCTACGTGCTTATTACTGCATACTCATGCCTGCCATTCTTTAGTGGTTTGTTCCCATCTCTAAACCTCCTACTGAATAGCTCCAGCGCAGATGTTTGCGTGGCTGCAGAGTGAATCAGATCAGGGAACCAGCACAGCTAAAAAAATAACCCGCTGAGTAACTGCTGCCTGGGGTGTAGGCACAGCTCTGGGTAGTCCTGGACTTTATCTAGTCAAGTATTTTTATTGACACATACAAAAAGTAAAATTTTGCCATTTGCCAAGCTATCCTGAGACATTTGCAGTGGATTTTAAACCTGGGTGAATGTGGGTTTGTCTACACCCTTCCAAGATACAGAGGGACAGCAGTTTGTGAAGTTATTTATGATAAACTGGGATATCATTTTGCATTATTCTGAAATAATACAACAGTAATCTGTAGAGAAGTTCCTAACCGTGATGTCTGCAAGTTGAAGTCTTGTTAGTCCAATATTTTGGATCAAAGCAAAACCATGACACTGATTTAAGGAGAAGACTGGGAATTCAGACATGTTGTGTGCCAACTGCACATAAAAAGGTACTTAATGCAGCTGGCTAATTTCTGTCAATTCTCACGTAGATACTTACCAGAAACAAGTGCATTATGCTTGTCACATATGAGGATATGCCTTCTTACATGCCTGAGCACTGATAGCTTTTTTCCTCTCTTTGCAGATACCTGGTTATCTCTGAAAAGCTAGAAGAAATTAAATCTTTCCGGGAGCTGACATGTTTGGATCTCTCCTCCTGTAAACTGGGAGATGAACATGAGCTGCTGGAACACCTCACCAAAGAGGCCCTGTCCAGGTACCAATTTCTTGACACAGAACTAAAAATGACACTTTCTTTCCTATCACTAAGCAGTTCAAAGAATCAGGCTATGACTTTAAAGGGAAGTTTCACAGGCTGCAGTGTGTAAGGTTGAAGATTTTGGTTGTTCATAAAACCTTTTCTTTAGGTAAACAAAATACAGATTGTATTGTAAACAAAGCACATGATTGAAAGCACATATTGAATTGTAAAAAGGCCTAAAAATATGCAAGATAATTTACTGTCTCATGTTTTTAAATCAACTTTTTATAATTTTCATTGGCCAAGTAGAAACAGTACCTTGGAACAGTTTTACACTTTCATTTCCTTTTTTAAGAGAGAACTTTGTCAGCCAAATTTATAACAAAACCAGTGTTCCAGAGAAAAGATTTCTGCAAGTAGGAGATTGAATATTTTGTTAATTAACATCTAAATACAATAACATTTTAAATTTTGTTTGATACTGAAGATTGAAAAGTAGGAAAATTTGGAAAATAATAGGCAGAATGACTGCTAATTAGGGAGTATTACTCTAAGATTTTCGTGTATTTTGCATCAAGGTTTTGTCTTGAAATGCTCTGGAGAATGTTTTAGTGAGATGTTTTTCCCTGAGTTTTGTTAATCTGTGTTATAATACCTCATTATTTTCTTTAAATCGTTGCTGTATCTCTTACCAAATCTGCCCTCTCTCATTTTGCCAAGCTTTTTTCTTAGTTTTGAGTGCATTTTAGTTTGGCAGCCTTGGTTTAAAGAACTTCAGGGTATAAAGAACCTTATTGTCTCTGTTAGCAAATATTTGGCTCTAGGATCAGTTTGTCACTGGAGCTCTGGGAATAGCTGCTCAAGTAGTGCTTCTGTTGAGCCAGCAGGGGCAATATAGGGATATTTGTTAGTCCCACTAACCCAGGCTCCTTTCTTACTGCTCTTTACTAACGTTAACAAAGCAGACTGAAGGGTTGGCACGGGATGACACAGAGTTTTAGGACATTTTGCAAATTTATCTAAAATACTGACCATAAACTACATGTTTGTATCTCCCCTGCCAGTGTAAAACAGCTTCTCCTGAAAGACAACTCCCTGTCAGATGCTGGCCTTCGCAGGATGACGGCGCCCGTCCGCGTGCTGAAAAAGGGGCTGGAGAATCTTCTGGTGTTAGACTTGTCTTGTAAGTGCCTCATGGTTTCACATTAGAAGCACCCTGTATCCTTTCTGATACAGAATTTACCTTCCTCGGCATTGAAGGAACACAATTAATTTGTTGGTTCCCATGAGCCAAGTACTCAACTCTAGATTTCACTAACAACTTTCCAGAAGGCACGGGCCATACCTGGACTCTCAGCCACTTGCTACTTGCATAAATATTTTTGATAGGTTGAGACTTGGTATTGTAAATATTTGTATTGCGATCATTAGAGGGGAAAAGTCAGTCTTTGACTTGAAACATACTGAAAAAAGAAAAAGGCCAACCCCCTTTGTTTCAGTATTAGCTTTTGGAACAAATACTTTCTTGGCATCCTGATCCTTTTTCCACATCATGTAACTTAGTTAACTTTACTTGACCTTACAGGTAACCCTAAAATCACAGATGTGGGAATTGGATATCTTCTTTCTTTCAAGAAATTGAATTGTTTGGACATTTCTGGCACAGGTCTCAAGGTAAAAAAGCATCTACCTAAGTTTACTGGACAAGTGTAATAAATGTTCTTGCCCTCTGACTGCTTTATTTCCCTTTTCCCCAGGATGTTGATGCTGTTATTAAGCGGATCCAAATGCAGATAGGCCTTGTCCACTCAAAAGTGCCTCTGAAAGAATTTGATCATAGTAACTGCAAAACAGAGGGATGGGCAGAACAGGTAAGGGGGGATCTAAGTCTGTTTTACTCTCTAGAAATTTGCCTTACAGAGTATGAAATTGCTGAATAGGAAAGAATAGAGAATGGAGTTGTTTCCAATGGTATTTCTGTAAAATTTACAAGAAACATTTTAACTCCTTCCAATGTTATTTCAGACAGTTCTGCAATGGGAACAGGCAGTTATGGAAGCCATCAAGCCACAGGACAACCTGAGATCCAGAACAGCAGCTCTGCGCTTCTGTAAGTCACTGCATGGGAACCACAGAGTGGATTTGTTTCCTTTTCTACAAGGAATGTTTCCATATTTTCTTTTTTTTTTTTAGTACAAATAGCATCTTGGGTGTGCAATTTCAGCCATTTCCATTTGTGTAACTGCATTACAACCTGCTTGAGTTTTTTCATTTGTTAGACTGCTGGGTAATTCAAGTACAGCATTGCAGCGTGCTTAGGGCAACATATAACAACTGAGTTTTCTCCTTAAAATCCTGAGTCCAAAATATGTTATTTTTCCCTCTGCATATTTCAGCAGTCAATATTCCAGGTTGGCTTGGCCAAAACTCTTTGCATCAAAACGTGCATTTTACAGCATAATTCTGTTTTTCCCTAAAATCTAAATTTGATTGTTTTTTTTCCTTGTAGATGGCAAGACACGCAGAATAGAGGAAGTAGTCAAATGCACAGAGGTGGAAGCAGAAACAAAAGCATCTGGAAACTTGCAGTTTTATAAGGAAAAAGTTCAAAATTGCCATTTACCTTTGAAAAAGGAGGTTGCGGGAAGCCATGAATTAAAGAACAATAGAAAAAGAGCTTTGGCTGAACAAGAGAGAGAAAGGACTTCCAAACAGAAGCATCTGTGCCTCACTGTGGAGGACTGGGATTTGTTAAATACCTACTGAGTCAGAGAGAAGTGGGTCTTTTGTTTGTTGTTTTCTTGCTGATGACAGGATTTAGACATATTGAGAGGGAGTAACAAAGAAGACCAGCGCTGTTAAATCTGGTTGCTGTGCCATGCTTGTGGGTTAACCTGTGCTTGGGGAGGGGTAGAGACAAGAAGGTTGGTGATACTACTGTATATTTTCAATACATAATAATTTTTTCAAATAAAGGTTTTGTTGTCATCCTTAACCAATTCTTCTGACATAGGTATTATTCACGAAAACAGCTGGTCCTATCCCTGCTCCTCTCCTGCCTCCCAAGGGACAGGAGACAGATCACTGCAGCTCATCTATGCTTGTCAGGAGCCCTGGGGTATTAATACTGCTTCTAGAACAGAAACCTCAGCCTGAAAGCACCAGGCTGTGCTGGTGGAGCTGTGACAAAGGGAGGGAGCAGCGAGGGTAAGCACAGGCCTCTGCAGAGGGGTCAGAGGCTGTAACCCCTTGATAACAGTTACTGCAGAAGCCCAAAGTACAACAGAAGTCCTCTTCCTTTCTCATTTTAGTCCAGGAAATGAAAGCTGGAACTGTAGAGATTAGGCCTTGAAGTTGTAATATATTCTCTCTTACAACCAAATTCACTACATTTGAGAGCATTCTGTGGTTTAAAACACATGCAGTGTGCCTGAAATACACTAACCATATTTCTGCATCTGAAAACATTCAGGGACATTTATAATTCCAATATGAATTATACATATTTGCTGTAAACCCCCTAGATACTTAGACCCATTCTGTGTTGGTCTGTACAGCTGTAATGCCACAGGTAACTGTGTTTATAATTAAATTCCTGCCCTGAGTGTTTCTGTCAAAACTGGATGAGGTGCACAGTGCCCGTGAGTTGGGCACTGCAACCATCATTGTGCTCTTAGGCCTTACATGGCCAAGAATTTACTCCAGGTTTCCTCTACTAGTGCCTATTTAGAGGATATCTTACACTGTTGTTTACCATAATTCAACAAAAAAAATTCAGCACATCCTTGGAAATCATGAAGAAGCCAAGAAAAGGAACTTCACCTCAAAAATACATAAAGAGCAAAACCCCTTTCTTTCTTTGTTCTTATTGCTGAATTTTCCTCAAAAAGTGATTATATACAAAAAAAGGACTACACACAAACAAAGCAGGCATACTTGCATTCAAACCCTACTTTTTTCTTCACAGAAATTCAAGGCTATTAATAGCTCCCACTGACGGCTACATCAGCGCTCTGCTGAGACAAGCAATGGCACAGACTGTGACTGAAAGCAGGAGGGAGGAAGATGGCTGTGGTGCTCAAGTGCAATCCTCCTCCTGAAGCTGCCTCCGCTACAATGACCACCATGGAATTTTTGGCCAGCCCTCTCACCACTGGAGATCTGCTAATCTGACCATGGAGAGAGGCACAATTTTTTTTACCAGCTGAGCATAAGGGTTCCTGTATTTTTTTTTTTAACAGCTGGTTAATTCAATCCTTAATAACTACAGTTGTTGTGCTATCCATATACAGTTCCCATCATTAGGGGTGAGATTTTTCTCTCCCTCCTGGGAAAGAAGCTCCTCTTCCCCAGGAAGAAGAGGCTGTCCCTGTAGTGCTGCCTCTGAATCACCCCTCCTTGAGCTCTCCTTAAGAGATGCTGCAAGGCTTCCCCAGTGGTTGCTTCAGAACATACTTTGGGGTAACAAGGAAAAACAGCAACTACAATAAGCCCAACTTTATTTACCAACCTCAGCCCAGGCTTCTCGAGGCATTAGGTGTTTGTGACTCTCCAGTAAATGTGTGCACCTCCATTGCAGGCTTTGATTGAGGCTGGAAGCTCCAAACCTCTCTTCGGAGCCACAGCACTGAATGCACTGGGGTAACATTTTACAGGCACAGAAAAAACCAGCCATCCACCCTGGCCAGGCCTGGAGAGGGACAGGTTAGTAAATGCAGCTTTAAAATCTCCCCATGCAGAGTTTTGCCATCTCATTCCAGGTTAAGTATGAGTCACAATACTGTAAAGCTATTTATAAATAAGATCTCTCAGATCTCCAGCTGTATCCCAGCGACAAATGAGAAGCAACTTTCACCGTTGATCCGAGTTATGGTGACATGCAGAGTTGCAGATCACAGGACAGAGAGGAAATGAGTGAACAGGGTTTTATTTTTAAATATCTGTGACCTAGGGTGGTGATGGGAAAAAGATTGCCTGATGTTTATTTTGGGCCTAAGAAAGTAAGTGCACTCACTGTAAATGTGGTTTTTTCTCAGAGATGATGTTTTAGAGACAGATGAGATTTCCAAAGGAGCAGAGAAGACCACATTTTCCTTAAATTTCAGTGTCATGCCCATACCTATATCCTGAGGACTGCTGTGAAGGCTTGGCTGCCTGATCCTGTAGTGCTGGCAGAGGAACAAAACAAGCAGCAATCGGATCCGGTGTCATCCCACACCACCCTGGGAGCAGCACTTGGTTTTCTGCCACTCTCTGCTCTGAGGCTGTGACTTCTTTTTCCTCCCTTCTTTGTCAATTTTGGTGAAACATATCCCAGCTCCCAGCTCCATGGCTGTTCTCAACCTGCTACGCTGCTGCTCCGAAACTGCACAGCCCTGAGAGAAGCAAAGTTTATCCACATGCTGGTTCCCTTTCCCGGCTTGCAGGGACAGCTACATGGGCACAGGGACAGTGATTTATCCCCACAAACCCTGAAACCTCTTCACCTCAGTTTTCCCTGCCATTATGCTCTCCACTTGGCTTTCATGGTTTGAGAAGAGAGCAGGAGGTGGCCTGAGCAGCAGCTCCCCAGGGTGTCATCCTCAGCACAGCATTCCCAAGGAAGTGTCCCAGGAGCACCAACACATGGACCTCAAAGCCACTGCTGAAACCATCTGCAGATGTGTTTTGAATGCAAATAGAAGCTTCTCCTCCTGCCTGTCCCTGCAGAGGCAGCATCATGTCCATACAGGAGGAACCCCTGGCCCAGGGCTGCCCAGACACCGTGTCTGTGCTGGCAGCAGCCGATGAAGAGTCCCAGGAGCTGCACAGCATCAAGTGCAAGGCAGAAGAAGCCCATGTAGAAAGTGCTCACCTTCACATGACAGGAGAATCCTTGGAGGTGTCCCACAGTCAGTACCCAGCCTGCAGCACGGGCTGCCATGTGCCCTTGGTCCCTGTTCAGTGTCACTCCGCTGCTCCTGAGGATTTGCTTGGATTGGAGCTTCCCAAGTGGGTGGCGGAGCAGGAGGACAGCAAGGTTCAGAGGTGAGTGTGGGAAGCACCCTGCTGTCTCCAGCACTGAGGGGTGCCAGGACTTCATGGCCTGCAGACGTACTCGTCCGACCAGCCAAGGCAGTGCTGGATGCCATCCCGGCACAGCCTCCTGGGGATGCAGGAGCAGTACTCGTAGTGCACAGGGATGCAGCTCCACCACTCCCACCCACATGGGGGACAGGAGGCCACTGGGAAAGATGGAAAACAGGGAAATGAAATGCTGAAATGCTTCTGCTGCACTGACCCCTTCCCTCCTTTTTTACACAGGTAAAACCCTATCACCCCCCAGCAGAAAAGCCACTGGTGATGAGCCTGTGACTGTGAACCCACCAAAGAAGACACCAGCTTTGCGCTACTTGTGGGGGACAACCATGGAGTGTGACATTGTGATGACCTTCATGGCAGACAGGCCATCCTGGGAGGAACAATGAACTGTAATTCCTTTTTTGTTGTTGTTCGAAACAAGGGAGGTGACTCAGGAACAAACCTGCTGTTCATTTCAGCAAGAGGGGGATCTAGACGGCTTTGAAGCTGCTGAGGTTCAGCCCTTCCCAGCTCAGAGACGTGCCCATCTACTGACCAACTACCAAAAGCCAGCTTGAATGGTCACTGCCTATGCATCGCAGTGAAACCGCTCCACATCAGCAAGCCATGGAGGAGGAGCAACTTTAGGGTCTGGGAGCAAATCATGGAGCCTTTGCCACCTCGGCTGCCACCAGGCTTTGACATAGAACCCTTGGCAGCTGGTGGGATGCAGCCTGCCTGGTTCATGCTCACATCTTATCCCAGCTATTCTGTGTTTTAGTGGAGGATGCCAGCCTCCAGGCATTTCCAGCAGCATCCATGAGCACCACACCTATATAACCTACCGCAATCCATCAGCAGAATAGACCTGTTGCCCAAGAAGAGAGACTTACAGCTCCCCAACTCGTCAGAGCAGTCTCCGCAGTCATTCATCCCGTTACATCTCTGATCAGCATAGATCCAGGATCTGGGGTTACTGCAGAGGAAAACCAGGTATCCTGGGAGGCTGTGGGGCAAGTCACCTGCCAGAGTGGACACACAGGGCATGCATAACTTCACTGGGCACAGACACTGGCTAAAAGAGAGATGGCAGCCACCAAAGGCTGCTGTCATGGGGGGGTCAGTCAGTCCTTCCCTGTGCAGTGTCAGGGCATGAACGATGCCATAGATAGGGAAGCTGTGGTTGGAGAGGGGCAGGGATGCTTGTGGCTGAGCCAGAAGCAGAGTCTGAGTGCCCCGGGCTTCTGCTTTAATAATTTTTTTCCCAGGGTGACAGGACAATAAATTACTCATGTAGGCATAAAGCTTTACCAGTGGAGGAAAACTGCATCATGGTTTAAAAAAAAAACCCTAGGAAGATCAGAGGAGCTTGGAGTCTTTGATTCCTGGCACGCCCACTGGGTTTTGGGCAGTGCCATCTCTCAGTATCTGCCCTACAAAGGATCTACCAGGCTTATCTGCTCAGAAGCACAGAACAGGATTAGAAGAACACTGTCTGCTCTGTCTCACAACAGGAAGACTAGTGCAGGGGGGATGGTCACAACCAAACCACTCACCACAGAGCTTCTCCTGCTCGTCCTCTCCGTTCCTGCAGTTGCTGACTCTGTCACAGACCCAGCTGGATGGGATGCAGGTCACTCTGTCATCACACAAGAAGCCTGTCCGGTTATTGGGGGCTGTGCAGAAGCGGTTCACTGAGGGGAAAGCAAGAAATCCTTTACTTTCCAGCATTTTTAAGATATGAGGAAAAGCTCAAGGGGAATAAAGGGGGATTTCTGAAACTCATTTATTGTTCTGGAAATAGCCAGGGGCCAGGATTAATCTCTGGTGGGTTCATGGAAGAGTGTGAAGACCATACCAATCAATAGTCTGAAGGATGATGGTGCCACCCAGAGTTATCCCAGCCCTATGGAGCAGGACAGTGGAGCTGAGGAAGGGCTGGGGGCTGCTGGGGCTCTGCAAGGCTGACACAGCCCCAAACCACCCTGCTCATCCCTTTCCTTCCTCCTGGTCTGCACTGGAAAGCACCACTTTCACACATGGTGATGGACATGAGGGCTGTTCTCATGCAGCATCATTTCTGCCTCCCTTACCAAGAAAATAACGAGTCTTGGGATACAACCTGGTGCCCGTGGCAGGAGTCCCAGTGCCACCCCCAAGCCCACAACAGCCATAACGACGAGCAGTGCCACGGCAGAGATGCAGACATGTCTCCGTGTGCAGCCAGTGCAGGCACCACATGGATGGCAGGGCTCTGTTGGGAAGCAAGAGCAAGAGCTGAGGGGCTGGGAAAGGATCCAGCAGGGCTGAGAGTGGGTTTGGGGCGTTTCAGAGGGGAACAGTGCAGAGACATGAGGCTGATGTTTAGGGGGCTCTGTATGTGGGACTAGTGGGGGCTGCTGGGGTTTAGGGGTTGATAGTTGAGTTCAAGTAGCCAAACTCCAACACTAGACACCTCACAGAGAATTTTGCTGCGTGCAGTATGGAAGAACCCGTGCTGCTGTTACAGAGCACCAAGATCAAATGGTACAAACACTGCATCTCTGTTGGAGCTCATCTAGTGGATTTGGATGCACAAGGGTGGAGAAAGACAAGTCCCTGCCCAACTCTGTGAGACAGCAGTGGCTCTGAAACACAGGGCAGGTCACTGTAAGGCTGGGGAAGGTGTCCTCCCAGAGCCCACAGCAAAACTCCTCAGGAGGTAAAATTTGATTTTACAGCACTTCGGGCTTTCTGCCCCAACAAATGCTCTGGGCTTTCTCCCACAGAATGAGGCTGGATTATCAGCTCAAAATGTTGGGAAGGGGCCGAAGAATTGCCCTTTCCGTCCCCAAAGATATCTCCAGGGCACAGCAACCTTCCAGGGACTCCAGCTTTCAGAAAGTCACGTACATAAATCAAACCAAATGCAGAAGCTGAAGGCCAAACCCACAGGCATTGCAACACAATGGCAGCACAAGTAAGAGCGACGTCAGTCACCCACCCTCACCTCAGCAACCTGCTCTGCCTCTAAACCAACCCGGTATTTTCCTGCATTCCTTTCTATTTCCAGACCAACAGCAAAAACAGTTAATGTGGTCATCTCAGAAACATGAAACCAGTCACTTAAAACAATCCTGCCTGTTTAATTGATTTTGGTATAACTGAACTTAAAGGGTTTTAACTAGAATTTAAAAAAACAACTTTTAAAAATTTAAAGAACATTTAAGTTAGAATTTGTCTTGGCTGTGCTTTGTGTTTACTTGGTTGTTGTGTCATTCAAACTCAAGTGAAGGCGTAGCCTTTCCTCCATACAGCAAAGGGATCTTGGCTACAGCAACCTCCCCCTCTGTCACACTCAAGTGGGAACCAAACACAGAACATTTCAGCTCAGAAAAGAAGTGGTGAATTACAGCATGCCTGTGTCTACAAAAAACTCTGACCGGAAAGCACAGCAGTTTACACAAGTATAAAATAAAGGGAGTGATGAAATATTGCAACCTGATCTACAGGTTTGCTATTGATTCTGTTTGATCTCACCTTCTCCTTCTAAATATGGACAATATTTGCTGAAGTTTGACTATTAAGACATATAGAAACCCCTCAGCAAGCTCATTATGAGCCTTTCTGTGACAGACAAGGATCACCTATCATGCTACTGTACCACATGACTGCCAACTTCAAGATAACACAGAACAGCTAAAGTTTATTAATTTTATAGTATGGAAGTTTTACTACACAGAAAGAGTGGAAAATCAGTCCCAAGAAACCATAAATACCGGTTGTATTTTACATTCCAATTGGTTTATACTTTATTATTAAAGTTAAGCTCTGCATTTTATTAATTACCTCTTTTTCCAGAGACGGATTTTGTTGAACCACAAGTAGGTACATCACCATTCCTCTAGAAGGAAGGGGATAAAAGACTGTTTACAGAAGCAGCACGCAGCAACCACACAAGCTTTGCCTTTCTAAGTCTCACACTATCTTACCCAGGAACATGTAATGTACTCCTTTATTGTCACGTACAAGCAAAAATTGCCTTGGTGGAAACATGGCCCAGATTTAATTCCCAAAGCAATCAATCAGATCACCTTTTAAACCTTAATTACCCATTTGTAAAACAAACACTAACTAGGTCCAGCACTTTATATCAACACTTTTCTTTTGTATCAAATTAAGTAGAAACTACTTGAAATCTCACAAAAGCAGCGATAAAGAGGTCAAGACAAACAACACTATCAAGAACACATGTACTCTAGGGAACAGCTGCATATAAGGTTTTTCTGACGGAGAACTGTACCTGGGGGTGAGTTTTGTTCATAATTTCCAGAGCTACAGCCCTCAAAGGACTGCAGGGAGTTTTCTGCACCTCACCACGAGCGATGTTACCAGGATACAATCCCAACAGAGGCAGGAGAGCAAGGAGAGCACTGCTGTCCAGGCACACAAACAGGAGGGGATGGGAAGGGCAGTGCTGAACCTGTGCTCCAGCTCCAGTTGAAAGATTGTGGTTGGCTTCTCATTCCTCCTGGCTCCACCTTGGTTTCACAACAGGGCATTAGACAATTCACAAAGGACAGGGACATTTGAGATGCCAAGAACCCCACTGCCACTCCTGACGCCAGCTTGGAAGGTGAACACTCACCTCTAGCTGATGCCAACTGCATTTACCCTGGTGCCAGTCAGGGAGAACCCCCTTCACGATGAAAGCTTGAGGGAGGAGAGTCTGATCATCCTCATGCAAGCCTCCTTGCCCCCCCACCTCCTTCCCAATTTGACACACTGACCTCACGGCAGCATCAGCCACATGATCAGATCTCAGGAGAGCTGTGCAAGATACAACCATCTGGAACAGCTTCCCTGCTTGGGCAACAAGCACAGGCATAGAAAATCCTCCAGGGTACTCTTTTACTTGTGTACTTGAACTTCCAGGCCTGCAGTAAGTCTTCGCAGTTGAGCCTGCAGCAAACACAAACTTACAAAAAGGTTGCAGCCTTCTAAACTGGCTGCAGGTTTTGGGTCAGCACACACGGAGGGGAATTTTGCAGGATAAAACATCACCAGCAGGCAGCTTTGCCATGGGGGCAATGGGGAAAAAAAGCACCAGCATGAAGTGTTTGAGGAGCCCATGTTCTTCTTGCTTGCAGGTGGGTCTATAGGGCTCAAGTGCTTCCAAACTGTGCCATCCCACAGACCACCATTCCTTCCCAAGCACTAGCAAAACCAGCTCACCGGACCTTCAGAGGAAGGCTGGTGGGTAGATTATCTTTAAGGTGGTCCCAAGACAGTTGCCTTGAATTGATTCAAAGCACCAAATAGTGCCTGATGCAGAGGAACAACTACAGCTACTTCCCTCTCCATCCCCACACATACAACCCATCCTCAACTACAGTGAGTTAAGATGTTCTTCACGATCAGGGCATCTGTCAGCCCTGCACTCACAGAACAGCCAGAATTAAATACAGGAGCTCTTTCAGTACCTCCTCCTTCAGCACAGCAGCACCAATTTGTCCAAAGCAGCTTCTCACAGGAAAGCTGGTGCTACAAAGTTCTCCTTTTCCATGGGGAATTTGGGGTGAAAACGCTAAACGCCACATAGCAAACAGCCTGCAAGTCTGGGCATCTGCTACAACGTGGAGGAATGCCAGACTAAGGGTTAAAACCCCCACATCTTATATTCTGGATCTGTTTCTCTTTAAAGAGGTTTAGTTTTTGATCCTTTATTAGGTGATTGTGAGTTTGCTAAAACTCCTGTGTAAGACAATATACACTGGATATGTTTAAAATGCAAGAGGCAAATGTCCATAAGACATGTCCAAAGGGGCATGGTTTAGTGGTGGATTTGGCAGTGCTGGGGGAACAGTGGAACTCAGTCTTGGAGATCTTTTCCAACCTAAACAATTCTATGATTCTACAAACTGACACCTACCCCCACCTATTTCCTACACCAAGATCATTAAGCTCAGCTGTAGCCAACCAGACAGTTGGATTTTAGAGCAGTTACCTCACATCAAACACTACTTATAGTTTAGAAAAATGAGTTCATGACAGTGAGGTAGGAAACCCAACAAGCCCTTCTGAAGTTAAATAAAAAAATAAAAAAAAATTGTCAAAGATCAGAGCAGCTTAAGAGGCAACACAGATCAGGATATTCAGTATGACAGAAGATTATTAATTCTAGCACCTAAAAAACCCCCAATTCCCCCCAAATATGCTATGGCTATTTCTGCCAGCAGTGAAATACACACATTTGAGAGGGTCGCCTCATTTGTGTCAAGATGATTCCATTTTAAATCTGATATAGGTTCAGTTGAACATATGCCTAAAGAGAATATAAAATGCTTTCCTCCCACAATTTCAATAATTTAAGGCCCTTCATTTAAACAGTGGTTTTGAGCAGAGATCAAACCCAAATTGCAGCCTCTGAAAACGGAGATTTCAGGAAGTCAAATAAAAAAAATGAGTAGAACATGACATTTTGCAAAGTCAAATGCCAAGAGAGCTTAAGGAGTCCATTTAGATTAGAAATCTTGAGGAACAGTTCAATTACTTGCTAGTATCTGATTTTACTGAGGGAAGATCCTTTGACAAGAGCTTACAAGTACAACACTTGAATTCTTCAGACTCTGGCTGGCTCTGGATCCAGCAGTGCCAAGTGCCAGAGTGCCACAGGCACAGAGCTCTCTGTGACCCAACAGCACATTGCTGAATTGCTGGCTGCACTGCACAGATCCCTCGGCTGAAATGTCATTAAACAGCAAACAAAAGACAAAACACCCAATGAAAGCACAAGTTGTTTGCTTAACTTAAGCCCAGGGCTGTAAGCAATAAAGTTTTGAAGAGAAAGTTTTGTGAAATCATCAGCGTAACAGAGGTTGTACTGTCCACGTTGGGACAGGCAAACAGCCACGTCTGCTTGGAGCTGTAACACTCCCTCTGCAACTACGTGTAATAGTAAAGGAAACATTTTAACAGACCTTACAAACATTTCCACCAGCTATTCAGTTAGAAAACCTTCGAGGGAGTTCTGTAGAATCAACAGAAAACGACAGTGAGTCGGGCACCATGCATTCTAGCCAGCATTCAAATACTCAGACACCCTACAATAAATCCCACACTCCCATCTTGCCAACACTGGGAACCAGCATTTAACAATCTCCTCAAAGAAAAGGACTGCAAAAAACAGATTAGAAACATGAGGGACATTGTTAGTTGTTGTTGCTGTCCTAGTGAATCACACAGCAAAATCAGGTCACGTTGCCCATGAGAGGAAGGCTATGGACAGGCTTCTCATACCGAGCCTGCTGTGATCAATAATTAACCATAGCAAAAAGTTATATAGTCAACATTTTCTATACAGTCAACTTTATTTGTCTGCTCTCATTTCTCAGGAATCAACTTGTTTCTGTAAATGAAGTTACAAGACCAGAACAGTTAATCAAGAACAGAAAGTAGAATTTTTCAGAAAACACAGGCGCTAACTTTACAAGCAATTTAAGACTTAAAGGCTAAAGTTTGACAAAATAATTGACCATGTTATGCTCTGCATGTGAAGGGATATGTCCATACGTTTTAATGAAGTTTCCATTTTTCACAAGCTGAGTTCTAGCCTACAGTACCTCACAAATGCTTTCCACCTCAAATACTGCCACACTGTAGAAAAAATATATTTCTGTTTTTGGAGACAGGGTTGTTTGTGCATGGACATTAACAAGTACAAAAAATTCAGCAGATAATTTTATAATATTTTCTCTTAACTACAACAGAAAGTGCAACACTAAAAAGGCATCTCCTGCCTACTTAAAATTTCTTATACCTTTACAAAGCTAACTCTGAATGTACACATTACATCCTAGAACACACAAATAAGTTTGAAAGTGTCCTGGCAGAAGTATGGAAAGCATGCTTACAGCTTTTGTAAGCAAAAAGACACATAGCAAACACCAGTGAAAAGTGATTATGCCTGGAAACAAACACAAATTCATGTCTGAATCTTTACTACTAGTTGAAAACAAAATCCCATGACCTTTGTTGATTCTGCAACTTTATTTGCATTTAAAGACTGGCTGCTAAGCTTCTCATCTGAAGAACCACCACAATCAATCAGGAGTTGCTATCTCTGTTAAAATTAGTCTATCGGATCCAATGGAGACTTATTTAAATTGCAGATTGATCCAGATTGACTTTTGTAGGAAGAGGTCCTGCTTCTTCATGTTCCTCAGTCTTGCATCTAACCACAACAAGTGCAGAGGGTGGGTATCTGCTCAGTTTTTGCTCATTCATGTATTCCAAATCTCCATAGATGCTCAGCTTCTGAAATATTTAAACAAGGAACTTTAGGACAAAGACTCTCCATACTGTGAATAAAAGGAATTTCATTATGCAACTGCATTCCAGGTTCTGAGAGCTGCAGCCCTGCCACACAAGCTAACCCAGGCTTTCTGTAACATCTGAAATTCATGGCTGGAACTAGACTTGCATCCAAAAGCAGTATATTAAATCTGCCAGAAAAATAGCAGACACAGTGCTTATGTAACAGCTCCTTTGATTTGCAAATATTGTGAGCCAGGACTCTCTGGGCACCAGGAAAATGCCCCCTCTGATCAGACTCTCTGCACTCACCAATACTCTGCTGTCACTGTTCTCACTATTGATCCTCCTGGATTCAACCCAAACTGGGTTTCACCTATACCACCCAACCCTCAGAATAGCTTTATTCCAAGAGAAATTAGAATCATCCTCCACTTGTTAAGAGTAATTTGAAAGTTGTCAAGAGGAGAGAGCTACAAACCAGAAGACATCTTGTCTGCGCTGCCTGAGTAAGGCTCAGAGCTCCTATGGGCCTCAGGAATGAGCAAGAATTGCTCAGCTATAAAATCATACTTTACATAAACAAAATACGTTTGCTAACCACATCCTCAAAAATAAAACCCCCTTTCCAGGTGAACTTCCCCCAAATATTTCTTAGTCCCTAGACAGCTGTAGCATAAAAGCAATATAAAGAATAAATTCAGAATATTGTAAGTTATAAAATGCAGTACCTCAGATGGAACATACTGCTCCACAGCTGTAGCTACAGTCGCACAACAAATCCAGAGCAGCACCAACACTGACAGGACAAGTGTAGTGGTTAAAATCCAACTGGAATTTCTGAAATGAGAAGGATGTTGCTACATTTCATATACTGAATACAGAACAATAGACCTCTAAAAAGCTTGGCTCAATTTTGACTGCCTTTCCTGCCAATTCATTAGCCTCTTGCTCTTACAGCCACACAGTCCACTGCAGACTCCTGCAGACTCTAATGCTTGGTTAGGATCACAAAAGAGTTGCTGGATTCTGTTATTGGGCCCTAAGCATCCTCTTGTTTACAGAATTAAAACCAGTTTTTTGTGACACATTTGGGGTCCAACTCACTGATCCTTCATGTGTAAACTTTTAAAGAGAAAGTAACCAGAGTAAAGGAAAGGAGGACCGACCAACATGCTGATCTTCAGAAAAGCTCTAATAAATATATACCGTGTATTTTCAGCCTGGAAATGAGACATATCAGTGGGCTTTGTATCAAACAATCCCAAAACAAAATACAGAAGAAGTGCTTTGCCCTGAAACACATCCAGAGCTAATGAACAGGCAAAACACAGTATTGATTAAACAGTTCAGAGAACATACTCAAAAAACAGTGCAGGAAATTATCAATATGTTGTTCACGTGAAATGGAAAGGAAAAATCAAAGTTGGCAGAGCACTGTGCAAAAAACACGGGGCCAGCACAGCGAAGTCACACTAATGGTGAGATACAGAATTGTAACTGCTGTGCATCCTGAACCTACAGACTTGTAGCACTTTGAGACCTTGCAACAGTGCTCCACACACACAGGAGAAAGGCCATTATCCTCCTAGTGGGTACAGACATCCAGAACATACGTACATGGAAAGACACTTGAAAAAGCTGTCGTTTGCTCGCTCTTCAAAGAGCCCTCGGAATGTCTGTGAGCCCCCTGGACGTCTGTCTGCTGAGGGACAACAGCACAAACAGTGGTCAGGAGAGCCAGGAAAGGGAAGATCCAAAGCCCATACAATTGGTCTACACAAAGCCTAAAAAGAAGCTTTTAAAACAGCCCCAGCTTGCAGGTTTCCATTTCCAGCAGAGCTTGGTTTCTAGCACAGACCATGCCAAGTGTACATAGTGCACTCTACACAGTAAATAATTACATTTCAGCTTTCTAAAAATTTGCTTTCATATGCCACCTGTAACTTTATTTTTTTCTTTGCATAACAGAGAACATTTGCATTTACTCTTGCAAAGCACAAAGAACAACTTACAGGCTGTTTTACTCAGCGACAAGGATCCTCTTGTATCTCCAGTTTCCTGATCAAGCTGTGGAACATACTGTACTTCTGGCTTTGACTAAAACAAAATAAGGAGTTAGGAGATCATGCTAGAAAGCTTCCACTGATCTTGATAATTTATATTTTCAGAACTAATACAGAAATTAACCTGAAGATATGCTCCATTCTCCTAACTTTGAATTTTTTCCCCCATTAAACTGGCCCTAAAGGCAGTGAAATACCAGCAAAAACTGAGCACTTCTGATAGTTCTCTACAGCCTTTTCTGTGACTGGAAGAAGCAGACCTAAAGTGAGCAGCCAGGACACCTTAATCTCAGTGAAAAAGACAAGCACCTGGAATATGACAATTTTGCCATCATCTGCTTGAAGGTAGAAAGTCCATGAGGATGTTATGAAGCTCTGAGCTGAATCCATCATGTCACTCCAGAATGATCTCACCAGTGTCAGAGGAAAGAGGAGATGAATTCTTGGCATCAGAGACATTAACTGCAAAACATCAACATGTTTTCCATTTGTTTTTATATAAAAAGGACAGAAGTCATGTTCTTGCTCACCCCTCACCCCAAGGGTACATTTCAGTCCTTAGGTTTATTTTCCATTTGAAGAAACTTATAAAAAAGAGAATACACATACTGAACAGAAACAAGTAGGTGGTATTTGAAAAACATGTCACCTACTTACTTGCTCTTGCCTTAACTCAGCAAATGGTAACTGGTTCTGGCATCCAAGATGGCAAGCATATTGTTCATCAGATTGGGAGTATGCTTCAGTACAGGCTGCAAGGGAGAAGTTCCCCAAATGAGATGATAAATTCTGCATTTTAGTTAAGAAAACATTCTCAGTATAAGTTGGATCAGAAACAAAGCAGCAGTTAAAAGACTGACAATCCCATTTGCAGGGAAAGATATGGCAATCACTCCCAGGGTAGCATTTGCTCTGAGGTCTAATGACAGAATCAGAGCTTCAACAGATAAGGGAGTTGAAATCTGACTGCAATCAGAGCAACTGAGCAGCAACATTACCCTGGCCGAGCTCAGGGATGCAAGTTTTCATTGATCCTCCCACTACCACTACAGCTTTTCCTCTACATGTCACATAAACCATCAAATTTTACCTCAGAGAACAGAAATGGAATCCTAATAAACCCAGAGGGACTGTCAGTCCATTAAACCCCTTTGAGGTAACAGGAGAAGTCATGGTATCACAGGAAAATCAAAGGAGCATCCCCTGTTAGCACAGAAACTGCACTGAAAGTACTATAGAATAATTTCTTATGAAAAATGAAACCAACTCTTTGTTTAACAGATAGCTTCTGTTCACTGTTGACTAGAGATCATAAAGATCAATAAATCTAATTTGGAGAGAATAATTTAGATTGCTCTGCCCATGGAGAAATCAGGGAGAGCTCTCCCACAAAACTCTAAAGCTCAGGTGGACAATGTTGCAGAAGCACCTGAACTAAAGAATCAAACCGAGTAGCAACAGAGAGGACAGTAGCTCTCCCAATTTTCCAGAGGAACAAATGGACCATGAGAAAGACTAAGAAGCTGGCAGGAAGCATGGCACCAGCAGCTAAACACTTGAGAGTTCAGCTCATGGCACCTGAGCAGCAATTCCATGCTGCAACTGCCACCAAGGCAGTGTTTGTGGGAGGCATCAGGAGACAGAACTGAGCAGATCAGCCAAGATGTATCTGCCAAGCACAGAATAGTCAGTCAGGGCACCCACCAGCAGGTTATAGAACATAAGCCAGCAAAACAACAGCCCCATTAAGGAGAGTTAAACCAGAAATAAGCAACTGTTCCATTACTCTACATGTGCTCTATTGGTACATTACCCTGTTTCATGGCACTCTTTCGTGTGTGG